CCCCTTACATAGTTGATGAAGATCAGTAACTTTTTATTACACATCATGAAAAGCAGAGACTCATGAATTGCGAGAACATGGCAACGCACCCGAAATGGTGATAAAATGTTGAGTTCGATGCAGGCCCAACTCCTAGCCTGGGTAGGGCAATCGCCCCGACAACTACGCTTCAGAGTAACGATATCTAGAAAAGATGACTGGATACTTCAAAGTTTGAATAGGGCAATTGCCCCGCCAAGTCATGATTTTCTGGACATGAGTGTCTTGAAAATATTTATCGCCGTCTAATGTGTCTTCATCTTTATCAAATGTAGCATTTGGTTTTCTAATTTTCAAGTTGAAAAAGGGGGAATAAAATCGATTTTCCCTTATTTTGTATTCTGTTACAGAAAGATAAGATCAGAGCAAGACAATGTAATAATCTTCAGGGTTAACGACCTCCTATAGTCATCTCTCTTCTATCGCAGAACTAGAACATCAGAATCGATGCCTTTCCCTGCAGGTATTTTTCATTACGAAAATGGAGCATTTGGGACCGGCACTTTAGATCAGAAAACATCGATCTGCAACAAACAATTGCCGTTCATTTCCCTCCCCTCCAATACCCGCGTACACGAAGTTAGATCACTTGATGATTCGTTGGCCTTCATAATAGGTCGTCCAACTAAAACGTGATGCGATCAAAGCTCCATTTCCGAACTAGCCTACAGCAGTTAGCGTAACGATCCAGTCGTCTTAATGTGCCTGTGGCCAACTGACCTGAATACCAGGTGACAATGGCATCTATAAAATGCCCATAATACTATAATAGTCACAACCGTAAAGTTAGTATGTTTCTGAGCTCCAGTAAGGTTCTGAGGATAGACTGGGGTCACAGAAATCAGTTTAGACAGTCACTACATTCAGTCTCTGTATAGTCGGCATGACTTTATTGCAGGTGTGGAGAAGGATTCACCTGAATTTCAACCCCATCAGCTCAAGGGAGGAAGCAACAAAACTACTTAGGTTGTTCATCTTTCTACCTGACCGACATAACTAAGAAGGAGCTTGAGTTTCAAAACATCGATTGAAGAATTCCAACTAACAAGACACTCCTTTCCTTTAAGTATAACATCTAAGCACCTTGTTTCGTGCTAGAAAGCTTGGCTGCTGGATCTTCAATCTCGCTTACTTGGATAGGTGGAGACCAAAGCTGAAAGATTACCCGGTGGAATTTACAGGCCAGATGAAAAAAAGGCACGATAATTAAGGACTTGGAAATGGATTGGAAATGTTGATTACAGCACACAGGGAGGGGCATTGACTCCCGGTCTCGAAAACAAGATAAATCCCAATAACGCTCATGCTGATTTGTGTGTTTACGTTTCAACTCATTTCCGGTTGCACTTAATGCCATTAATCTCAACAGACTATATCGAATTAGGCATAGAATAACTCAGGGCAAATTAGATCAATAATGGGCGTGTGTTATTACCGTAATAACACGCCTGTCCAACCGTGTCGTAATTCGTTAAGAATTAGGATCTGGCAGGATTCTGAATAAATAATCTCCGGGTATCCAAGATCGTAGATTTGCCGTAGCATACAGGCAGACTATCCAGAAGTACGGTTCTGGATATAAAGCACGGTCCTGGATAAGTGCGGACTGCCAGAATCGTACTTGAGTATGGTTCTGGATAAAGTACGCTTCTGAATACGCGTGGACTGTCCAGAGTCGTACCTGAACATGGTTCTGGATAAAGCGCGGTTTTGGATACGCGTGGACTATCCAGAGTCGTACCTCAGCATGGTTCTGGATACGCGTAGACTGTCCAAAATCGCACCTGAGTATTATTCTGGATAAAGCACGGTTCTGGATACGCATGGACTATCCAGAATCGTACCTGAGCGTGGTTCTGGATAAAGCACGATTCTGGATACGCATAGACTATCCAGAATCGTACTTGAGTACTTGAGTATGGTTCTGGATAAAGCACCATTCTGGATATATAAGTGTGGACTGTCCAGAATCGTACCTGAGTATTATTAATTGCTGTGTTTATTTTGTCCCACACTGTACCTAATGTGATTTATGCCTATGTACTTTGTAACTGTTCTGTTGGGCTACCTTGGAAATCAGTTGTCCTAAACTGAAGGTACCACCCAACTGTTTTTAAGATCAATAAATTAAATAAATTCTGAATAAAGCGCGGTTCTTCTGTAACTCACCGTAGTCATCTGATGACGTCAGGATGCTCATCTGCTGCCAGCCGAAGTGATCGATGACGTCGGCGATGACGCGGCTCTGTACGGTGTCCGTAGCTGACAGACGGACCAGGAAGGGGTAGGTCTGCGGGTTCACCAGCATCGGGTCCGTAGCCACGGGGGCGATCTGAGGGATCTGCCAGGGGAGACGTCAATATAACGTTAGAGTCTCCTTGAAGAGATTCATTTGTCACGTATAGATACAGTTACTAGAGAATTCTTTCATCAGTGACAACTTTGGAAGGGTAAGGATACTAACCTCCAAATTTTCAATGACTATCAGTCCACCGAGACTAGGTAACTCCGTGAACAAGATGGACTGATAGTCATCGAAAATTTGGAGGTTAGTATTCTTACCCTTCAAAAACTTGTCATTGCTGAAAGAATTCTCCAGTAACGTTGGAGTCATTCTTTCCTAGAAATCACCCTACAAATAGTGGTATTTACCAAAAGGGATCAATACACACAGGAAATATGTAATTGTGCCGTTTTTTGCCTGAAGCAAACATTACCATATTAACGGGGCATTAACCAGCAATCCCATTTTTCATTTTTCAGCCGGACAGTAGAAACCAATATACTAGGATGTCGACTTAACACTTCAGTCTGCATTTACTGGGCCCCATTGTGAGACATGCCGGAGTATTAAATATTATAATATTGTTTTTATTCCAACATGTAATCACAAGACGTGGTGACGGCACACTCAAGTTTTTTCAACTTACATTAATGCCGCCACCTTTTGTTTCATTAAAAAAAAATATTTTAGTTACTAGAGAATTCTTTCATCAGTTTCAGCAAGTTTTGAAGGGTTAGAGTACTAACCTCCAAATTTTCGATGACTATCAGTCCATCTTGTTCACGGAGTTTTTAATCTTTAATTTTTTTTTCAATTTTTAACTTTTTAATTTTTTAAATATTTCTTATTTTTAAATTTTTTAAATTTATTTTTGTGCTTTTTGTAATCTTTTTTAATTTTTGTAATTATTTCAATTTTTCATTTTTTTTCCCGAGTATCGGTGGGAAGTGCTGAGACGGAACTCACCTGCACCGCTCCGCTGACCAAGCTGACCGCCTTGACAGCAGACGAGCCGACTGGACCGATAATGGCGTGTACTCCGCTGGCAGACTGCCGACACGCTGCGAACAACACGCACGGCGAGTTAGATGTAAGAAACAGGATAAAAACCCCTGGTTCCAGGCCGGTGTTTAAACCAACGACCTTCATATCCCGACGCTATAACCACTCGGCTAAAAGGTCTAGACCCATCGGCCGGGTCAGTTGGTAGCGCCTATAGACCCCTCACTGTTACACTACTCCCCCTTTTCTTTTCAAGATTCGTCCTCGAATCTTCCGAATTCGACATCCCTGGAGCGGCACTCTTTGCCAGAACTCCCAGGGCCAGTCCGGTCAGTTGGTAGCGCCTATAAACACCCCACTGTTACATTGACACCCATTATTTTTTACTGCAACATTTAATACAAGACATGGTGAGGACACACTCAAGTTTTTTCAACTTATTTTCATGCCACCACCAACAGAGACAAACGCATGTCCAAAAGACATACTCATTTTCACCTGAGTTAAGTGAGGAAAGTCGTGCAAAGTGCCTTTCCCAAGGGCACAAGATCGGTGGCATGGCAGGATTCGACCTCTTGGTTCTGAGCCAAGCATTCTATCGTTACGCCACACGACCCAACAAGGCCCTTCATTGGAACCTATGCAATATGAATCTCCACTCCCAAAGTTTGGCACATCCACATTTGATTCTGATAGCCATGCGGAAACATTAAGTCTATGTACGATAAATATCACAACCATTCAAGCCAGAGAGTTAATGACTTAATGGTCCACTTGAACCTAATGTAAGTAATATATTTTCACCATGTTTTAAAATTAGTTTAGCTTTCTTTTTAAGAGGGTTTTGGAAATTTACGAACTACTTATTACAGGTTTGAAGAAACAATGCACGCTGTTGGATCGATGGAATCAATCCGGATATGAAGAGAAACGAGGGCGACTCGAGCGGGAAGAACTAAGCTGGAGAGATCCAACTGTAAGGCCACAGCAAGTATTTTATGGATGACAGCAGCGCGCGCATTGATTTTCACCTGATTTTGAAAAAAAAAAAGAAATTTCGTTGCCCTCTAATGGTCAACGTGCCAAAAATGGGCTGTTTCCATGCCGGTAGACAAATATGAAGAGAGGAGACAAGAAAAGGCTCTGATTTATTGTTTTGTCTTTTACTTTGATGCAGTGATGTATTTCATTCCTTTTATATGTGATGGTGCCTGTGTATATATGTGATGTTCCCACTGAATCAAAAGCATTTGTACAATGACTGAAAACTTAGCACAATCTAGGTATCACATATTTTTTAACAAGACCTATGATGTCAAAATTTGAAAATATAGGAATCTTGTTTTGGGGGTCCGCCTTGTGTTTTTTTTTCGCCCTATCGCATTAGATTTGAAGTCTGCGGAGGATGTCATCCATAAAATTGACTTGCTGTGGCCTAAGCCTGTGCTCAGGGGAAAGATCGAACTTCAGGAGCACGTAGGAATAAGCCGTCTTCATATCACGGCGACAGGACAATTGTGGGGTTTGTTCTGCCTGGCCATTATCTGTGTGTGTGTACAGACGGTCGATATCCGCACAGAACAAGGATCTATGCCGTCTGGAAAGGCTATTAGCGAGTTCATAGCCGGAGTAGACTCGGCCTCATTTCCTCTATTGAATACACGGCGACAGGCAGGCGATCATCGTTTGCCAGGAAATCTAATTAAAGAACTTTTTTCTTTAAGAATTACCATAAAATTGTGGTGTTGTGTGGCGCAACTTTAGCTTGCGAGACTCGGAACCAAGAGGTCCCGGGTTCGAGTCCTGACATGCCACCGATCTTGTGCCCTTGGGAAAGGCACTTTACACGACTTTCCCCACTTAACTGAAGTGAAAATGAGTATTCTCTGTCCTGTATTCGTTTCTATGTGCGGGACACAACACCAGCAACAGCTTGCCTCTGTCCCGCGTGTATTGCACTGTTGCAGCTTCAATAAATCAAATCAAATAAAATCAATCAAAATCAGTCAGAAGGAATGGAGCAAAACCGTTGATGTAACACATAACGACAATGATGTACGATCGGCAAGCCTGGCTGCATCCATCTTACCACGTATGATGGAAATGAGACTATAAAACGTGCGACTACAAACACATCTGCCACAGACAGATAAAGACTAGCTGAACCATTTACTCTCAAATCTCTGACAGGGATGTGCCTTTTCAGGAAGCAATTTAATTTTATTGCTTACTGTTAGCCTGTGTAGGACAAACACAAAGAGCCAATTAGCACTAAATGTTGATAAATGACAACACAGACGTCAACTCTGGTCTCCGGACTCATTGTGAAGCGAAACGAGGAACATTTTGTGGTGCTTTCATTAGTTCGACATCAGGAATATATCAGGGCTCCTTATAAGTAGGGGAACACCGGATGTTTTAATGTTTTATTTGTGACTCACTCGTAAAGGCCTGCTATCCACTAGAGCTTTTGTGTGATCCATGATATTATCACTTTAATAAGACGACTGATGCAAAGGAATAATTAAAAATACAACAAAACGTAATAAAATTCCTTCTTTCAATTCGTTGTGTGATCTGTTGTCATTTGTTTTGTCGCTCATCGGTTAGAGCTTCTAGTGGGTATAATAAGCACATAAAAACGGCAATTTTCTTTACCTCATAGTTATTTATTTAGTTATTATTGTTATTCATTGATTTAGCTGTTCAACCCTCAAAGCCAGGGCAGCCCAAATGCAACTAGCCAGTGGCTATTACAAAGGACTTGTCCTGCTGACAAGACAAGACATCACAGCAACAACTTAAGTAGCTTAACAACCTGTTACATTATTCTATGGAAAAAAAACTTTCTACAAAGGAACTAAACTGCCTGTACCTTTCAGCACCATCTCGAAGAAGGCGAGTTCCCTGGTTGTGTTGATGATACACTCCAGAGTGGTGTTAGGGATGATGTTGTTCTGGTTCACGTACTGTACAGCCAGCTCCAGGGCTGTTCTCTCAGCCGTGTACACTTCAGCATCAGCTATCAGGGCAGCTGGGGGAGAGAGAGGAGCATCAACACAACTGGTATATACTTGAAAGATATTTCATGCATTGTTTAGAAATATGGATGAAATTACGTGTGTTAAAATAGAAGAAAAATGGATTTTCCTTTATGTGTTTGAAAATTGAACAAAATGGAGTTTTGTTTTATGTGTCTAAAATCAATAAAACAAAAAAAACTGGGTTCTCTTTTGTGAATAAAAAACTAAAATAATTATTATTATAGGAGATGAACTATGTCGTAGTTTCTAGATTTTTTTGTATTTTGGTTAAAATCGTAATAGATATTTCATGTACTGACATCAATACATTAGTTTATCAGGTTTTCTTTATAAATCTTAAAGAAAACTGAATTTTTGTTCAATCTTAAGAGATCTTGGTCTCTGGCTCCTGGGGAATACTTCAAATTTTTGAGTAAATACGCGCGACTACTTAACCTGATTACAAGTAACGATGCGATACGCGGCATAATCAAATCCAGATGCTAGAATCAATGAATACCCTGGGGTAACTAAGGGGGAATAAGGGCATCTGGTTGTCCCGAATAAGGTTCTGCATTAATCCATATGGCAGATATGATCTATAACGGGAGTATTGTATTTTCACTAGACACAATTTTTTTAACATATGCACCATGATTTGATTTATTAGACTGTATAAACAGATATATACAGCCAGGACTGCCCAACTAGCCGGAGGCTATTATAAAGGTCTAGCCCTCAGAACAAGAACATAAACAATTAGGAACAGGTAACAACAGTTAACAGTGTAGGTTATACTTCAGATTAACATACTATTACATAACAGAGGTTGCACCTTACAATATACTTACAACTGAGTCTGAGACTTGTACACTAAGAATTGCTTCAAATAATATTGATCCGACATTCAATACCCACAAAGGATAAGTACATTGCGTAGATTTTGTACTAAATCATAATCCTGCGCGACTTGCGATTGCCAACTAGTACGTTTGAAAT